CCTCCGATCCGGCTCTGGGATTGGCTCAATACTTGGCGAAGTTGTAACATCGTTACATTTGCAAGGAGAAGAATATTATGCTTCTCTACATGCCTGCGCACTTATCTTACCTATTATAGCCTCTTAACGTCGCCTGCTTCTTGCTATTAAAGCGCAAGTATAGCAATGCTATTTTAGGCTTAGCACGCAACCGCACCTACTATATTAGTAAAGAGACCTTCCTACTAGCCTTTAAGACTGCTTTTAAGCAGTCTATTACGAAAGAGAATATCTAAGCTAGCTTTAGAGGCGCTAGTCTAGTCCTACACAACCTATAGGCTATGCTATCTAAGCTTAATGTAGTAGTGTAGACACCTATACAATTACCACAATAGATAGCTACCTAGTAGGCGCAGACACCACGCAACGCGCGCGAGGTTAAGGCTTAAAGTACTCTTATTTAATAGAGAGTAAGAAACTACCTTAAGTTTTCTATAAATTCTCTTAATAAGAAGGTTGTATAGCTAAGTAAAGAGGCTTAGCAAATAGCATATAAGATAACGCTTATAAGGAAGGAAGTAGCTACTCTTTAAGAGGCTCTAGATATAGTAAATAAGCGTAAAAGCTATAAGCAGCAATACGTATAAATAGAAGAGACTCTTACTATAAGCAAAGTATAAGAAGTATTAGCTAAATAGGCAGGTAGTAGTTGTAGTGATAGTAAGAGTGCGTTAAAGAGGGTGCGAGGAGGGTGGCGGTGCGGGCGTTGCAAGCAGACTAGACACAACGCTTATACCTGCGTAGTTAAAATAGATAGTGTAAGTAATAGTAGCGATTCTAATAATTAATTTAGTATATTATAATAGTTTATTAACTATAATAAAAGACTGTGATAACGTGTTAACGTCAACGCGCTAGTAGGGAGTGACCAACTCGCTTATGAACCACGTTATATTTAGATATAAATATAAGTGCACTAACGTGGTTCACAAGCGAGTCGATCACCCAAGCGAGTCGATCACGCTCCACCGGCGCGTCGACGTCGACACGTTATCACAGTCTTTTATCACAATTAATAAACTATTACAATATACTTAATTTATTGTTAAAATCGCTACTATCACTTGCACTATCTATCTTAACCGCGCAGGTACGAGCGTTATGTCCAGTCTACTTGCAACGCCCGCACCGCCTCTCTCCTCGCACCCTCTTCGACGCACTCTCACCATCACCACAACTGCTACCCGCCTATTCAGCTATTACTTCTTATACCTCGCCTATAGTAAGAGTCTCTTCTGTCCATACGTATCGCCGCTTACGGCTCTTACGCTTATTTAATTCGTCTAGAGCTACTCAAAGAGTACTCATTTCCTCTATTATAAGCGTCATTTTATGTGCCATTTGCTAAGCCCCCTTACTTAACTACGCAATCTACTTAGTAAGTGAATTAGCAGAAGACCCACAGCGCTTTCTCACGCTCTCTCAAATAAGACTAATTTAAGCCTTAACTTCGCGCGCGTTGCGTGGTGTCTGCGCCTCCTAGGCGGCTGCCTGTTGTGGCGATTAATGTAGTGTCCGCACCACCACATCAAGCTTTAATAGCACAGCCTGTGGGTTGTGTGGGACTAGACCAGCGCCTCTAAAGCCAGCTTGGATATTCTCCTTTGTAATAGACTGCTCAAAAGCAGCCTTAAAGGCTGGTAGGAAGGTCTCTTTACTGATATAGCTGGTGCGGTTGCGTGCCAAGCCTGAGATCGAGTCGCCATACTTGCGCTTCAACGGCGAGAAGCAGGCGACATTAAGAGGCTGCAATAGGTGAGACGAGTGCGCAGGCATACAGAGAAGAATAATATTCTTCTCCTTGCAAAGATCTTGAAAATCGACAGAGCAGTGGCTCTTATGGCCGTTAATAATAAGTAGTTGATACCCACCTACAGTCTGCTTCTTTGTATGGGTATCAAAGTGCTCTAACCACGCAAGAGCAAGCTGATTATTCGTCCAGCCATTTGGACTGACTTCAAGGACCTAGTTAGTAGGCAGGTCTTTAAACTAGATGTCGATAAGCACCTTGCCCGCAAAGACAATGAAGGGGGGTAGCCGGCGACCTAACGCGCCCACGCCTTGAATCACAGTAACCCACTTACGGTTGCCTGGCTGTATCCGCTTCTTTTTGCTATAACCTTCTAATGCTGTGATAACTAACTGTGATAAAATCTTGCCTATCATAAAGCCAGTCTCGTCAAAGTTATAGATATCGTCGTCCACAATACCCCACTTCTGCTTTGTCGCCTGGACTAAGTCAAACTAGCGCTAGATAGCCGCTGGGTCCTCGCAGATAGCTCGCTGGTGATTGTAAGGACAGCTCTAGCGCGTGTGGAGCTCAGGAGTCCTCTTAACAAAGTTGTCAATCTAGTTCTTGCCAACAGGGTTGCTCCCACGCTTATGCAATAGTTTATTAGCTATTGCTTAAACGTCAGGCTTTATAGGCGCAAATCCTCGCGCAGACTCTTCAAGAATACGCCTAACTACAGCCTCCTCTTCTAGCTTATTTAGGCGCTTTGAATTCGGCTCGCAGTCGCGTTGGGGGCGCTTTCCAGTACGCCGGTTAGATAGAGTACTTTAAGGCACGTTATAGATAGAGGCAGCACGTCTTTAGCTTAGAACACGTTGCGATTGGGAGTCAAAGAGAGCAAGTTGAAGATCTGATTCAGTATAGAAAGTCTGAGTAGTGCGTTGTTGAGTCATTACGCGTTGTAGTGTCGACGTCGACGCGCCGGTGGAGCGTGATCAACTCGCTTGGGTGATCGACTCGCTTGTGAACCACGTTAACATATATATATATATATCATCATGGCCCATGGATCCAAGCCCAACTCCTGTAGTACTGCATTGCATTCCGCACCATCCCAAGTTTCAAACGGTTCTAAAAAAAAACGCACACACACAAGGGGTCTGTTAGAAAGAAAAGCAAAGAAAAGAATAAGAAGGTAAACAAGAATAGAGGGGGGGGGAGAAGGAAAGGGAGAGGAAAAAAAAAAGAAAATTCTAGTCAACCGTTTCAAAGAAACGTTGAAGAGAACAGGAGAGAGAGAGAGAGAGAGAAAAGAAGAAAACACGTTGTTTCCCAAGGAAGAGAAAAGATAAAAAAGGGAAACAAAAAAAAAGAAGACGAGAAGAGAAAAGAAGGGAGGAAAAGAAAAAAAAAGACGACAGCAGCAACAATAATAGCAAAAGGGGGTATAATGAAACCGAATAAAGCATCGGCGACACATGAAACATGCAACAATCATCATCAACATCATGTCTCTGTCTGATCGACCCGGTCCCGCCCCGGCTCCTTTTCCTTTCCTCCTTGCATCCTTTCTTTCTTTCTTTCTTTCTTTCTTTCTTTCTTTCTTTCTTTCTTTCTTTCTTTCTTTCTTTCCCGTCTTTCCATAATGCCTTGTATAACCCGCCCCTCCTTCCTGTCTATATGACGTTGCACAGCCACACATACACACACACACACATCATCATCATCTGCACAAATACGTATTCCAACCCACCCCTCACATGACATGACATGCCATCTTCTTCTTGGCCTTCTTCCCCTTATCCCTTGCATCGCTCGGGGCCAGAGCAGCTAAATCAGATGGTCCATCCACCCTGGCGTCATGCGCGGCTCCGTGCATGACTGCCCCCGACCCAGCTACACCACCCACGTGCTGACGCCGCAGGCTTCTCCCATCGCTCGTATGCACGTTGGCGCACGCAGGTGCACTGACGAGATATTGGTGCGCGGCCACGTGTTGGCTGGTCGGCGGGATAAGCGGCGGTAGAGCCATTCTGGCGTCTACAGTGCTTCCGCTCATTGGCAGTGATGTGTTGGCATAATTCATAGAGGCAAATGCGCTTTGGGGAACAGGCCGGCGTTGCACCTGTGGTGCAGAAACGCGGCGTACAGATTGATCTGGTGAGCTCGACGGTGCCGACGGAGGCAAATAAAGGTCGAGGTTGTTATGAGCTGGAACTGGGTTTCTTGCTGCCAGGCGCTGGGGCGGCGAGCGATGTGTGGGCAAGGGGTTGTACGACATTTGGTCTGCTGACGAGCGCGTCGCTGAATTTTGTCTTCTTCGCGTCGAGTCCAATGACTGTCGGCTGGGATAGGTCGATGGATGAACCAGGGACGGTCGGTGCTCTGGTTCATGAGATATAGGCAAGGATACATTGCTTGAAGAGACTGATGGCTGGCGATGCTGGAACGGCTGGAATGGCTGTGGGGAGATTTGCGAGGGATTGACAGTGGCAGACAAGGCGGGAGCAGAAGATTCAGAAGACGACGAATGTGCCTGAGGCAGCCGTGGAACTGGAGGCGCATCGGGATGGCTCAAGCTGACGCTTTCCGCCGCTGCTGCCGTTGCCGTATATGCAGGTGGTGGTGGTACCCAATTATCGGCGTCACTCTCGTGCGGCAGCTCCCGCTGTCCATCAGCCCGGCGATACTCTAGAGGTCTAAGCGGCAGGGCCCGTAAATGACGACGATTTGCAGGGGATACTGCTGCCACAGTAGCAGCTCTAGCGAGCGACATTTGCGATCTTGGTTGCTGGTTGTCGTATGGTGCTTCAAACATGGCCTGTGCCTCCTCCGGTGTCAATTCCTCAGACTCGTCAGATGCAATCGAGGGCCGCGGGGCGTGCCGATTCGCAGCAGAGGTATTTGCGCGCTGAACAGGCGTGGACCCGATCCTCGAATTCCTCCGCGTCACTGCTTGATTGCGGTCCTGCGCTCTGCGCTGGGCAATCGTCCTTGTTCGTACCAATTCGACTTCTCTATCAAAATCAATCGATCCTTCTGGTAGCATCTCTCCAGGACACAGCGGATCGAGGTCGTACTCCGTCTTCAAGGGTGTTGGCGGAACGCTCTCAAGAGGTTTCGTCTTGTCAAAGTCAAGAACTATAAGCACTCCCTTTGATCCCAGCTGCGCTCCAAGGACCTCACTTTCATCAGGAACAATGCTCGAGTTACCCACAGCCACAAGTCGTTGGACATTGGCATCCAGCCTGACCCACCTCAACACGCAAATCTCCTGCAGCGTTCCCGCATTGTCGTTTGGTATTGGTATGCAAAAGCAAGGCTGAATGGGAGCGTCCGATTTGGACTTTTCAATTGGATTCCACTCCCACCCAGGGACCTGGTAGATCCAAATGTTGGTCATGCCCTGTATGCGCAGAGCAACGGCTGCCAAGTCGGCATTGGGTGATACGGCGGGCATGGCGTCGTCGACAAACTCGGAGCGTGTCCAGCGTTGGTGGTCGGGAAGAAACATTTTCCTCTGCGTGAAGCGCTGGCAGGCAATGTCGTAGATGCCCCAGGAATCTTCCTCGGCGTTGAAGGCAAACAACTCGCTGAAGGTGCCCGTGTCTGCATCTGGGAGAAGCGTGGCCTGCCGGGCAATCCTCGCCGTCTCGGGGAACAGCACTGAGCCTGTCCATGCAGTTTCGGGCGGTTGTGGTATTGGCTCTCCCTCCTCTGTAAGCGGCCCATCATACAAGCCAGGCAGAACAAACAAGGCAGACCCATCCGACTTTCTTGCGTATCCCGTGATGAGCAGAGTCCTGCCGTCGTCGGAGAATTCCAGCGCATCGCCTGCAGGCCCCGAAAGCGTGCGTCGCAAGGTATCCGGCACTTCTGGCCCGATGGCTATGACTTCGATGCCAAATTTGTTGCCCGTGATGAGTATGCGCGCGTCGGGCGAGACGACGACGGAGCTAGCCTCGTGTACCAGCATAATGGTCCGTCTCTTCTTGATCTGATTGTGCCCCTCGCCGTGTATCTCGTAGAGGTCGACCTGGGAGGGCCGTGACAGCACGGCCAAGAGGAAGCCATCCTCTGTGACGTCAATTGCAACGGGCTTGCGCTTGACCTGCAATGTGCGCGCCCACAGCCGCGGCAGCTCCAGCGTCTTGATCAGAAACAGATTGGCGGCCGAGTAGACGGCGACATAGGCGCCCTTGCGGGAGACGCTGACGTCGAAGCTGTCGGGCAGGGCCGACGACGAGGCCGTGTTGGAGACGAGCTCGAGCAGCGAGAGGGTGGGATGGGCGCAGGGCGGGCTGGCAGTGGGCGTCTCAGCACTGGGTCGGTCGTCGTAGGTGGTGGCCGACGTCATGGCCGTCGAGTGGCCTGAAGACGAGACGGACAGCAGCGTGTTCATCAGCTCGTCGTCGCCCGAGTCGTCGTCGCCCACAGACGCAGCCGCGTGTCGACGCTCGCCGCAGACTGGCGGCCGCGGTGGACGAGTGCCGTCATTGCTCGCAAAAGCGACGCCCTTGCCTCTGGCCGGGGAGCTTGGCGACGTGGTGGTCGGGGCCGAGTCGTGGAAATGCGATTCCCTCCCCACCATGGTTAGGCTGGGTGCGCCTTGGGTCGATGCTTCGTGGGGGTGGGTGGGGCGAGGGCGAGGGCGAGCAGTGAGTGCAGAGGGCTATGTGGGCAGCGACCCCATGGTCCCCGGCGACGCCTGTTTCTCGAAGCTGGAGGGAGCGGGGCGGGCGGCGTCTAGCAGGCGCAAAAGCAAGGCGGGGGCATGGCGGAGTGCTGGCAGCAGCAGCGGCGGCGGCGGCGGCGGCGAAGAAGAAGAAGAAGAAGAAGAAGAAGAACAAGGGAGCGGCCATGTTGTCCGGGGTCACGTTGGTGCTGCGTGGTTCCAGGCTGGCTGCCATGGCCGATCTGCCGCTAGCAGCTCGTCTGATGCCGTGTGCCGGGCTTCTATTTACAGAAACAAATGCACCCAGCTGCAGCTCGTATTCTCCAAATGCTGCAAAACTGCCATGTCGCCCGCCCGCCACCGGTCGCTGCATAAGTAACGGGCTGCCCGAACAGCGGTCCGCTACCAGCCAGCTCGCTCAGCTCTCCACCACTGGCTCAGGGGCGCGACCTGCCACGGAGCCGCCGAGCGAGGCGGGCGCCCGCGGGGGGGGGAGAGGCTCTGCCAGCGGCCAGCGTGTCGCAGCTGACGAGCCGCGGCCCGCCGAAACCAAACACGACCAAACCAAACAAGCCAGGCGCACGCCCCGCCTACATGCACATGTGTGATGTGATGTGTGTGTGTGTGTGTGCACCAGCGCTGGGGCTGACCGAGAGAGGGGCTTGTGGGGGGGCAGAGATACACACACATGCACACACACACACACACACACACACACACACACACACACACACACACCCCTCGGCGTCCGAGACGTGCGATAGGGCGCCGTGTCCGCCACCGCACCTGTCGCCCGTCCTGCAATTCTCTTTGTCTGCACCACCATGACTGGCGTGCCGACGCCGAGTAACGTCCTGCTCATTTCCGGCGGGCCTTGTGCGCCGCCGCATCCACGTTCAAATGCATGCCAACCACAGACGTGTGCGTGCCTCGTTTGGGGCAGCGTTGCACGTGGCCCGCGTGGCGAGACGCCAAGATACGCACACGCATAGGTGTACGATGGATACGATTACGCGGGGCGGGCGCTGCCACTGCTGACCATTTGTCATATGCGTGCATCCACATCCTTCATTGCCAGCCGCAGCTCGCTGATGGTTGCGAAATATCCAAACGCCGCTGAATCATCAAAACACCGCGCCAACATGCTATGCACCTCCCCAACTAGCCCCCCCGCCGCCAATTCCCGTGCTCCCCAGGTTCGAGCTGTACCGCCGGAAGCCCACGCCCATTCCTATCGGCACCGAAGACTGCCGCCGCACAATGCGTCTCCTGCTCTGCGAGTGGCTCCTCACCGACTCCAGCCCTTGGCCATCGTCTGATGCCATCGCGAAGCTCGACCGCGTCGTCGTGTGGCTCAGCACGTGCGGCGCTTCCCCCACATCGCCAAACTCCGACTCGGACTGGGCTGCATCCTCGCCATCAAACAGCGCCGGTCCTCGGCAATCGTCCTCGTGCTCCTCCTGTGCCACTTCAATCGTATTCGTCTCGTCGTCAATGTCCGAATCGTCGCCGAAGCCCTCGCCTTCGACCAACCACATGGTTGGGATATATGCTAACAATGCAATTGCAGCAAGCACCCAGAAAGGCACAATGACATAACCCCGCTTCACCCCCCACGAGAACAAGCCGCCGCCGAGCGTTGGTCCCGCCGCCCGCCCAAAGGAACTGAAGCTTGTCGCCAGCCCGTTGATTGTGCCCAGCACCCGTAGGCTCGGCGCGCTGTTGGTGAGCATAATCGTACTAGTGGGGAATGCAAATGTGCCCGCCATGCCCCTCACCATCAGGAGCAGCAACATGGCAACTTCTCGCGCAATCGGGTCGTGGATAAGCGCCAGAAAGGGCGTAACGAGGAAAACAAACGGGAAAATGATAAAGGCAAGCTGCAGACACCGGAGCACGCCCAGGTGCCGGGCAACAGGTGGGAAGAGTAGGAATTGGAATACCGTGCTCGAAATGGCAAACAGCGTAAAGATGATGCCGATGCGCCGAGACTCGAGGCCAAAGCCACCTACAAACTTGAGAGGCAGCGAGGCCGTGGGATCCGACTCGAGCTGCACAGGGTGGTGCATGAACACGGGAAGCAGCTGCATCTTGTTAGCCCTCGTACTTTGTTTTCCGGAACAGCCCTACTTGATCATATGCTTGAGAGTACATGGCCAGCAGAGTGTAAACAAGCAGATTAGTTGAAGTTTGAAATGTCAAAGCATCGCGAACGCTAGGCACCTTTTCCTTGGCTTTCTGGCTACAAGCACGAGGCGCTACAGCAGCCTCGTCGTCTAGTGCTTTCTGCCGCCCAAGAAGAGGTTCGTTCTCACCATGCGCCGTTGCCGGGGGGTTCAGATGCAGCAATCTACGCACAAAGCGTTTTAACCTGACTCCAGTCCGGATGCCCAGGTCCGGCTCATACTTTTTGCTCGCCAGAGTTTCGCGGAGAAATAGCCAGCCCACTACGATTCCCACGGTGAAGAAACTAGCGGCTACTATGTTGGGCAAGGCATAGGGAAATCTTTCGAGAAACGCAGTGCCTCGTGGCTGGCGCGGGTCTACACCGAGCGGGTTCGCAAGAGCACCGCCGAGCGTGGGTCCAAATGTCGCGCCCACGGTCCATACCAGCGGCATGATACTAAAAGCCCGCGGCTGCAGCTCTTTCCACGGACAAAGCTCCGCGACCGTAGTCCGCAGGATGCCAACATTTCCATTCGACAGACCTTCGAGGGCGCGCGCCGCCAAAGCCATGGGCAGGTTTACAGAAAACCCCCACAGCAGCATGGTCCACATAGTATTGAACAGGCCAAACAGGATGATTGGCTTCCGCCCGTAGCGATCCGACGCCGCGCCCCAGAAGAAGCTGGTAAAGGCCTGGCAGAGAGAAAAGGTCGACGACGAAATACCCGCCCATCGCGCAATGTCGTTTTCCGGAACGCCAAACGACTCCATGAGCTCGGGCACGTATGGGAAGATGGAGGTCAAGGCTATGGGCTCGGAAAAGCGGCATATTGCTAGAGCGACCGTCAGCGAACAAGTCGGGAGCGCGCCTTGGTGAGACCTACCGAGAATGACCAGTTGCTGGACTGGAAGCCGGTGTTCAGTCATGGCGGCGGTGACTGGTGTATGAGCATGCTAGCTAGCTAGCGGCAGCGAGGAGGAAAAGAGCGAGAGAAGACGGTCAGAGAGGCTGGGCCGGGCACAGTCACATCGTAAACGTGAATGCGCCTTCGCATGCTGAGTCCACAAAATGCGCACCCCGCAATGACGACTAGCCGTTCATGGCGATGTCATGGGGCGCCAGCCAGCATGAGACGACGCCGCAGGCCAATCACGCCGCGCATGGCGCATTGCTTTCCCATTCCGAATGCCGACCGGAGTGAATTGCATCTTCGTTTTTACTTTGGGTGTCGCCTTGTGCTGTGATGGAGTGGACGCCTGAAGGCTGCACTTTGGGCGGCGAAAGAGCCGCGCCGCGCGCCGTTCACTTCAGGGTTGCGTATGCACTTGGGCGCCTCGAGGAACTACCGCTTCCACACCTACATTCGGCAGTATCATTCATTCAACACTAACACTCGGAGCTCGCTCTTTACGCCGGACTTGCTGATCCCCCAAGATCTGGAGCGTTGCTGACAAGACAGCGTTGGCGTGGTGCTCATCGACGTTGCACGACTTGTCACGCCGGAGCAGTCTCCGATATGCGGGCTCCACCCGTTCCATTCCAGATACGACGTTGCTTTATTTCCGCAACTCCTCCAGTTCTACGAATTACTTTACCCCTCCCCCGTCCTTGGCAAGCTGCCTGTGTGGCCACCCATCGACGCGCCACAGTCCGTCCACGACTGTGACTCGAAGCTTTTTGCTCTTTGTCAACAACACCGTCTCACGTGGTGAGTGAGTTGGTATTGCACAAGCATATCGCATGTCGGCCGCGCGCCGTCTTGTCCCCGCCAATAGGATTGCCTGGGAATGCACTCTGAGCGGTGAGACTATGCACAGGTTACATGACCCACATTACACTGATATAGTGGCTTTTTTGGCTCTTCTACTAGACGCTTTTAGCTTATGAAATAATGGGGGGGCCAGGTATTCAGTCATGTATCGTTGCATAACCTTATCCAAAATACTTTCGCTTGTTATAGTGCTGGACAACTGTGAATAGGTAGCTTCATGCCGACTTGGACGAAATTATCTAGCTTGGTAGTATGAATATTATCGTTGGTGGTAACGAGATAACATTTGGTTCGAGTGTACGTTGGATATTCTCCTTCCGTTACTACCGCTAAGAAATATATTGGCGCCATTTTCGGATACTATTTCTCATAGCTGTTTGCATCCAGTCCTATTGTAAAGTATTTTTCTTGGCATTCTCAACGTCCTAGCCACAGAAGATACTAGTAAACAGACATGCGCAGTGCGCGGTGACAGTATGTGTGGGTAGAAAGTAGTGTGACGTTGATTTTAACATCTAAAAAGAAAAGTGGGTATCAACATTAATTTTACAAATGGCTAATTATTAACATTCGTATTGTATTCAGGTTAACTGGAGATTAATTAGCAAAGCACACTAAATGGCTGTGGCATCATACCTAAACTTTGGTTTTTTGAGCGTTGGTAATAAGTCCCGCACTGCACATGAGGAGAGCATGTTAAACTTGGAAAAATAGACAGTTACGATTTTCTAGTGAATCGCGAAAGGGAAATGGTATCACTTCTGATAGAGATCAACAAACTTGAACAGGCTCCTATTACCTGCCAGGTACACAAATAGATTGAACAAATGAAGTAATAGACAGTTACAACTACCAATTTCACACTTGATATACAATAAATGAATTGGGCGTTTTTACAATAACAGTGTCTGTTTATACCAACCTTAGTGACTATGTCTTAGAGGCTAGGTATCGTCTGATGTTCGATAAACATAGCGAAGAAATACAAAGCACCAAAACAACATCTTCTAATACGCAATCAAGCGTAAATTCCTAGAATGCAACGGGCTAAGTATTCTGTATTCGTGAATGAGTAGTTGTTTAGATTAGACCTAGGAAACTGAGTAGTTAGATAAAACTTAAGTAAGTTAACTAGCTCGGCAGCCTACTAAACGCCAGGCTATCGAGATGAGATGATACGACTAGTTCCTATATAACCTATTAGAAACTATGTTCTCTAAGCACTGTTACACAGTCTATGTGGAAATAATGTACCATCTGCATTAGATTCAAAGATACATCTCATTCGCTCGGAATACTGCAATACAATCGCTTCCTCTCCATCTCTAGGAAAAGAGTTACCACAGCGAATGCATCCCCGATAACAATGTCTTCACGGTGAATACACCGGGTCATGTAGTCCGGTGACTCCCAAAAGGATAGTAATAATGTATTAAACTCCTTACGGATCATTCTATTTCAAACCTCACCCTTTCCAGCATTGCGCCTGTATTTTGGACACGAGTGCGTCTGCCATTTGATACGGAGCTTAGAATCACACTGTTGACTGCTATTTCAGCAAACTATTTGAACATCACACGACACGAACCAAGTCTCTATACCTATCGTACCAGCACTTGTTCAAGATTGTGCGGAAGAAGTAGCTGCAATCTTTGTGAAAATATGATATCATAGCTGAAGTGACGTACTATCATATCCCATCTTTTATCTTGATATCGTCCAGCTGTGGTGATGGAAGCTTGGGTTCGTTATTGGAGGAATTGCTGATTTCTCAAAGTTGAGTTTCTAGACTTAACATACGCAGTCCCTTTAGCAGCACCAGGACGCCACTTTTGCGGGCACTAAACATTTGAAGGATAGAACCCAACCGCTTCTGCAGATACATATCGGTATACTGTTAGACTACAAGAAGTAGAAACGGGTATACGAAGGAGTTTAGCGGACGTGGTAAGTCAAATGTTATAGCTTTTTATACTTTTCCACCTGCTTTCATATTTTTATAGCGAATGACTTCAAGTTGGAGATTCTGTCGGCTTCTTGTAAATATATTAGAGACTACTATTCTACTATGCTGTGTGACCCTCCGCCTCGGCACTGGATTCACCTTTAGAATTCATGACTTGATTGTAGACAGTTTGGAGACAGTCACCATAGAAATCTCGATCACAATGTTTAAGGCCATGTATGGCACGTTGAGTTCTTTTGGACGTCTCTACAAAGCCTGTATACGTCAACACTTCCATTCTTTCGTTTATTCTGCAAAGAAGCCTCAAAAGCTGGAAGTACATGGAAATTTTCGGAAGATACAAAGAGTCTGTATAGCCCGAAAGCTGATTTAGAAATTTCATTCACATGACCAATGCATGGGTGCAAAATATCTCCATAGTTGCAGATTTCCATGACTTTAGCATCACAGTTTATGGTTCAATAGAAGCTATTGTGAGAAATCATGTAGATAATACTTGCATGTTTACAAATGGCAGTGCTGCTCCGGGTATACCTACAAAACACCATTCAGTGCAAGACAATTTAGACACTTCGTATCTTGCATATGCGTATATCGGATTTTTTCCCTGAGTGGAATGACGTGCTAACACATTTTCACATGAATATTGATTACTTGATCTTTTCTCGTTATCCAGAGAGGTGATCCGAGTTCTATGCGCAAAGCGAAACTTGCTAAGTCGTCTGACTTGATGGTGACTTCACATAGACTAACTGCAACATGAGTCTTCATTTCAACGACCCAAGATATTTCCAAATGGGTTGATATTGCTGAAGACTAGCAGTATATCAGGCGGTTATACGCACCGCTATCGAAGTTTGTGCACGCAGAGAGTAAAAGAGCAGCGAGTTTCCTGGACAAATTACAACTCATTACGTGAGTACCCCTTGTCATTGCATTTACATTTCAGAAAATGCATGTGGCAAAAGTCCAGACGTCTTCTAGAAGTGGTGTATGCATACGCATACAACACATGATGCTCTTTCTGTGGATGCGACAGTCAAACTATGCTTCTGAGCTACTTAGTCATTCAACTTCCGTCACAAGGCCCGACTACTCCTGAAATGCATGTCAGAATTTATCCCAAGCCTTGCATTACTATAGGTCAATCTCCGTCTCAAATCCACTCCCCTTTTTTCTGATTGGGACATTCGGAGACGGATCCAAGAATTTCATGGTACGTACGTACGTATGGCATTGAGAATGCATACGACAAGCCTTGGCCCAACATACTCGAAACCAACCCCCCCAACCCCATCCCGTATATTCATATGTCACTTGTTTCAGTATTTTCTACGCCCGATTCCATCTTACATTGCAGCTACAATACACTTTCTTGATTGAAGTGATGGTTGCGTCATGCGGCGCACGGAGCGCGGCCGGCAGAAATTCGGAGCGGCCGAATTCATCGTTACTTAGTTCCGTATCACGACGTACCTCCCGACTCCAGTCTTGCCATCACAACGGAGAGCTTTCCATAGCTGGCACGCAGCGCATGATACACCGAAGCATAGCGCAGTGACTGAGGCAAAAACACGCGCAATCCTACTGCATTCGCATTGACAGCTGGCGTCGGCTGAAACGCACCCCCTGTTTTATCTGGCTTAGGCGCCATAATAACTTGAAGCCATGATTGAACCGTGTGCAGAGAACTTCTCGCCAACTCACTTTCTCGTCGCTCGTGATTTGTGTTCACTCCTTTTTGCGATTCCTACGTTGTGCCATTGGCGGCGCTGATTGCGCGGAAAAAGAGACGGACTTGCAGCAGAGACTTGTAGAGGCCCCCCAATCAACAGCTGTCACTGCCTCGGATCAAGCGGAAGAGGAGGAACAACGATATCATAGTGTTGATATATGGCAACGGGAAGACGGGAGAATCCTCATCCCGTTGGGGGCGTCGAAGAACCAACCTCTAGCGGGCAGGGCCAACGTGCCAATGAAGGGCGCCCTTCTTCACTGAAGCCTTCTGACGTGGTCGCAAGAGCTCAAGGGCCCGGGGAATGACACTCGATGACGGCAACGCGTCAGCAGGCTCAACAACAGCTTTGCCATGTGGAGGGAAACCTGCATACGCCGGGGAGCCCAAGTTGCGTCCGGTACGCAGCTGCCGCTCCCCCCCCCCTCCTCTCCCCTTTTGCCGACTGGGGAACTGGGACAGCGCAGAAGAAGAAGAAAAAGAAAACTCACGGCA